CACATTTTATATTTTTTTTCCAATGCCCCCATTTTCTATATTATTAATTTATATTCCTGGTCTTTTATTTAAAGATTTTAACTGTCATTTTAGCATTTGCTTCTACCCTCTCTCGGGAAGCTTCACTGTGAAACATCACCTTTTTCTCTGTATCCTTTTTCATTTATCCTCTATTCGTCGTCTTCCCCCCCATGCCTCATCTCTGCTTTTATCCTCATTACTTATTCCGTCTTCCCCTTTCATCTTTATTCTTATTCTTCTGCTGTCACTGTCATCTACTTACTTTTTGTCCTCTTGCGGGATTGTCCTAAAAGTGTCAGAATACCATTTAATCACAATGCTTTGTATGTTTTGATGCACTGCTCTGACTTCCTCGCTCTCTCTGGCTGCCTACAGAGGCTCCATGCACAGAGAGAGGCGCAAGTTCCTCAGATCAGCTCTGAAAGAGCTCGCCACTGTTTTAGCTGACCAACCTGGACTGCTTGGTCCAAAGGTAAAAAAACACTGCAAATAACACTCTGTTTAGTTGTAATCATAGACTTTCTGTTTCTTCCTGTTTCTGGTTTAAATCAGGACAAAACTTTGTTTTTGTTACAAAAACAAGTTGGGTTTTATGCAAGTCCGGGGGGAAATATCCTCTAATTCATTTGATCTGTGACCTTATCGCTGGTGTTTATCGTCTCAATCTCTATTTTTAAGTTGTGTGGAATACAACATGATCTTTATATTTTAAATCATGGTCCATATTACTGTCATGACTGATTATAAGGCAGGACGTGATTATGATTTGTGTTGAACTTCAGTTTCACAATCAGATCTGCCCAGTTTCTAGTGAGGCTTCAAAAACACTGAGCTGGTGAACACATTCAGCTCAAGACTTCAAAAAGTGGTCTTTGCAAAACAATGGTTCATTTCACAGTGGCTCACATAACTTAGAAACAACATGTCAAATGAAAGGGGCTGCAACCTGCTGAATTATAAAAAGCTGCCTTAAATACTACAGTATCACTTGTTTAGTTGCTTTTTGTTGCTCAGGATGTTTGCTATTGTTTAAATTGACCAAAACCCATTAGATAGACCTAAACTAATTTCGAATTCATTTATTTTAATTAATTAATTTAACCAGATCTTGTGTACAGAGCCTGAGAGGTCACCACAAACCACAGTTACAACAGTGTTAGCTCAGGCAAGCTACAAAGCCACCCTCATTCAGCCATTTTTATGTTCTCTACAGAGCAGGTTGGCGTTTACAGAGATCAATGCAATTCTACAAGTTGCTTTGCCATCATCCTTTCCATGCTCTTAGACTTTAGTGATATCATTCCTGCTGCCATTGATGTTTATAGTTCTGTACAGGGTGGTTTTCCTGTTGCTTTACCTTTCTTCAGCTTTTCATGTATGTGCGTGGGAGAGCACACAGATCCCAGAACAGGTCCCAGTAAATATAAAACTAACATGGAATGAAATAACCTTTTGTTTTCATTATAGCTGAAATTCAGTCAGGATAAACAGAATAGGTAAAAGAGTGCAACAGTTATATAAAATATGTTATAATGTCTTTTAAATTATGCATCATTTAGAGTCTTTACCAGCCCAATTCTTCTAGTGGAACTCGATATACGGCACCAATAGTTGCAAAGGCATTCATAAAGTCTCAGATTGCATTTAGAGATTCTGAGAACGCAGATGCTGCGAGCTTCTCTCTCACCACTTCCCTCCAAATTTCTGGTCTGCTAGGCGCTGTTTGTGTTCATGGCGCTGTCATTCGCCCGTGATGAGATCATCTGGCTGCTTCGACACGCAGACAACATCCAGAAGAAAAGCACAGATGATTTCATAGACAAGTAAGCGTGGACAAGTGTGTTTGTGTACACGCGTCATGCCTGTATAAACACACTTGCGTCTTCACACCTGCTAATGTGTGTATGTGTGTTTTGCAGACACATAGCTGAGCTGATCTTCTACATGGAGGAGCTCAGAGCTCATGTCAGGAAGTACGGCCCTGTGATGCAGCGATACTACGTCCAGTACCTGTCTGGGTTTGATGCTGTGGTGCTGAATGAACTGGTTCAGGTGGGAACAT